TTTTGTTTTGTTTTCGTCCTATACTTGCCGTCTTTATGTGTTTGGTGCCAATAAAGTTTGTAGTTGAACCATTGTTGTTTCTGTTGAATTAGTTGTGACCGTTGATGGGATACTCCTTACCAAATCTGGCACAATGACTGGTGGTACCAGTGGCGGAATGGAAGCAAGGTCAAAACAATGGGATGATAAAAAAATCGAAGGTTGGTTTCATTTGTATGTGTATGTAGTTTGATTTTATTATTTTTGGCTTGTATTATTATTTGTTGCTTCTTCACAGGACTGAAGAAAAAGAAAGAACAGTATGAGTCAGAGATGGAAGAGCTTGGGTCAATTAGAGAGATGCAGCTAAAAGAGTCTGAAGCATCTGGGAGAATTAGTGGACTTGAAAAGAAGATCCAATATGCGGAGATTGAGAAGGTGACATAAAGGATTTCATTCCCTTCTATTATATGTAGCTAAGCCTTCAGGAGTTATTTAGCTGGTCTTATGTTGTATCTTCTCTTCCTTTCAAGCTTGAGAGACATAACAATTACTAGTTTGGGTTCAACTTGTCCTCTGTTATAGTTTTGTTTAGAGATGGGATTTGGTTTTAACTACTTAGTATTGGAAGGACTGTCTACCTTAGTCCAAAATTAATGGTTTATTTGCGTTCCTAGATAAGATCTTTTTCCCCCCCTTTACACACACACACACACATAAAGATATTACAAATATATATGTTTGTGTGTGTGTATGTGTGTCTGTAGAATTTCTGTAACAATTAAATCTTTGTTGTTGAAAGATAATGTCAAAACAAAAGGGTAATATTACTTGAAACCTACATATACATCTTGACAATCTCTATATTGCATTCGGTTTTGCTTTTCTTGATAATTTGTCTCAAGGCAGATCAATATCATTGATGTTTGCAGAAAAGCATCGAGGACAAACTTACGAACTTGAAGAAGGAAAAACAAAATATTAAAGAAGAAATTGATCGTATTACTCCTGATCTTCTGAAGGTGACAATGCTCT